GCGCGCCATGTCGGGCGGGCCCCCCAAGGCCCTGCAGTCCACGGGGCCCCACTCGCTGCGCGACATGCCGCACCCGCTGGCCGGCTCCAGCAGCGAGGAGGCCGTGGGTGGCGACAGCACGCCCAGCCCGGACCTGCTGATGGCCCGCAGCTTCGGCGACAAGGTGGGGCGCGCGGGGCTGCGGACCTGGAGGCTCATTCCATTCCCGGGAGCGGGGCGCGGTGGCGGACCCGAAGCCACGCGGCTGGGCTCGGGGCCGCGCCCATCCTGGCGCCCCTTCCCGAGGGGAGGGCGTGCCCTCGGCCCCGGAGCCCTCGGCAAAATGACACCCCTGCCGGGTCGCAGCTGCGAGGCCAGCGACCGCAGGGGACGGGCTTCCCTGGCGGTGCCTGGCCGCGAGCGCCGGTGACAGCTGGTGGGGAGGGGTCCCGCCGGCGTGAGTGCCGGGCTCGGCGGCTGCGTCCTGGGATAGGGTCCCTCGTCCCTCCGGGTGCATCCCTCGGGCTGAGCTGCCGGATAACTTGTGTTGCCGCCACTTTCCGGGGACGACACCGCAGCAAGAGCTCATGGTTTGGGGTGGTCGATTTGGACAGCCCCCGTCTAAAGCGAGAGAAGGTATATGTGGCGAGTGATCTTTGTTTAGATTTGCTGTGTGCCCAGAGGAGTCACCTGACCCAGACCCCAGCCGGCGGCGGGAGGAGAGAGTCTGGTTGCGGTTTTCTGTCTAGGGCTCCAGTCACCTCCGACGGCTTCCCACACTGTTACGGTTTGGGCCGAAACTGGTTTTGTGGTCGACGAGGGGAAAAAAAACAAAAACCCCCAAACCCTCGCCGTTTGCCCTTCTTTGTGCGTTAGGAGGCACCCGCTTTTCTGAGAGCAGCAGCCCTCCTGCTGCTTTGAGGGACAGCAGTGACCCAGGAGAAAGGGGCGGCATTCCATCCTCCGCTGGCTTTGCAGCTGGAGCTCTGGTGTGACCTGGACTTGAGCAGTGATTGAACCAGCCACGCGCTTCACTTAGTCGCTAATTGCTGGAATTAGCATGCTAAGCACTGGTGATCAGGATTTTCTGCTCCCAGCCGAAAAAAATACTCAATGGAGTCTTCCTTGCCCCAGTACCAAATCGACCCTGGGGGCCTGGCTTTCTTCCCTCCCCCCCCCCCCCCCCCCCCATGAAAGAGCACGGTACAGTGAAAATGAGCATGAGAGAATACTCGAAATAGCTAGGGGACTCGATGTACCTTCCAAGAGATTTCGCAAGTGAAGAGTGGGAGTAAACCAGTGGGAGCAAGAAACCGTCAAAAGCTAATGAAGCCAAAGGCCTGAGTAGCCCCCCAGGTGTGAGCTGATTCTCTCTCCTAGATTAGCAACAGTGAGGTTATGTCACTTAGAAATACCTTGCCTATATTTGACAGGCAATAAGGGATTGTGGGACGCACGAGGGGATAATTTGATGCTATCTTTTGGACAGAGAAATTGGTCCTAAATGAATGTGGAATAGGAGTTCGGGTTAAATCTTCCTGCTTCTTGCTTCTGGGGACGAAAGTGAGTTATCGATTGCTGTGTAACAAATGACATCCTCCCCCCTCCCGTCCTCCAGCTGATTTGGCACCTGACAGTCATTTCTGTGGGTCAAGATTCTGGAAGTTCAGACTTACATGTTGCTCACAAAGTTGCAGTCAGTCTTCCAGTTGCCGTCCAGCCAGTATCCCACTTACTTGACGGTGTGTGCTAGCGTAGAACTGTGCTTCCTAGGCCTCTCCCTGTCTGGGTTTTCACATGTGAATCACCAGGCCTTTCTTCTCAGTGCCTTTGGGTGGACTCAAACCTCAGTGCTGTGGTTAGAGAGTCAGCGGTTGGCTGGGGCCGCAGTATTCTGGAGAGGCTGGATTGGGGAAAGATCCCCTTGAAGGCTGCTTGCAGACAGACCTCGGCTCCTTGCCAACATGACAGCTGGTTCACCCAGAGCAGGTGATCCGAGAGAGCAAGAGTGTGTCGACACTGCCTTGTAGGAGTACAATCTCATCTTGGGAGTGACATCTCTGGGGTCTTCTGCTCTCAGACCAACTCGGGTACATTGTGGGGAAAGGGTGTGACCACCAGGAGGCGGAGATTGTTGGTGCCACCTTGGAGGCTGGCCACCAAAGATTGCTATGTTAAATATTTGCTTAAGGTCTCAGCTCTTGGAGAATACCCAGGGAAGAAGTAGGGGCATTTTGCTCATACATACTAGGAAGACGCATGCCCTCTCCCACCAACATATGTCTGGTGTGCAGGAAGTCAGACCCAAACCTAACTGCTCCTGGCTTCCTTTACAGGGTCAGCTCTGTGAGAGAGAATGGTGGAGACATTCTTATTAATTATTGACTATTTAATAAGTCTCCTAACAGCTTTGGAGAGTATCTAAATGACACCGTACCCAAGGGTCTGATTCCTAGTAAGCTACTTTTCCTTAGAGGCTATCCAGTGCAATTTCTTTCTCCCAATAGAGAGAAACATTCTCCTTGACACTTCTTGCCTTACATGCACGTTCTCATTAGCGCGGTTTCTGTCAAAGGAGCGCATCAGGAGCTAGCTAGGAATGGAGGTGGGAAGGAACCGTGGAATCCTGCCCTTTGCCCCTGGTTCTTTGGTTCAGCCTGGAGGGGTCCCGGTAGAGGGCAGTCCAAGAAGTTGGGCGCTGCTGCAGGCTATCCTTGATAAGAAGACCGTTTCCTTGCTTCTTTTTGGAAATTGGAGTCGTTCTGCAGAAGGGACTATCTTTCTTTGGGCCCAGGTGGTGCCATGAACAGGTGGGAGAGAAAAATGAATGTGTGAGACTCACCACTTGAACATTTCTGATGGGATGAATCTATTTTATCTACCAGGGGGTTGCTACGATTAGTTCTTTTCAATCCATCAGGACTCATAGTTTTTGTCTCCACCTAAAATCGTAAGTAAATCACTTGACCCAACAACGCTTCTCTCTTCTGCTTTCATGTGTAAATGGCTCTGGGCTGCTGCTTCACTGACTCAGCCTCTGGCTTCCTTGGGTCTCCCAAAACCAACATGAAATTCCCACTCCTTCCGTGGTTAACACACCTGCCCACATCCTCCACCTCTTCACCAAACCTCTTCACCTCCACTTCCTGCCCCATAGGACCCTGCTTCCCCTGAAGTTTTCTCAGTGGTGGTGCCCTTTCCTCCTGTCTACTGCTTGTTTCAGGAGATGGGCGGCTACTATTATTCTCTACCCATGTCTTTGTAACCCACCTCTGCTCCCTGGAGACTCGTGCCATTTTATTCATTCAGCAGGTAGTTGAGTGTCTACTCTGGACCAGGTCTAGTTCTAGAAACTTGAGATAAATCAGGTGAATAAACTGGTCAAACATTGGCTTTTCATGAGTATTTTATTGAGGCCCAGTGGTGTTTCCTTCTCTTGTACACAGGGTTGCTATTAGTGGGAACTGACCCAACGGTACTGCTAACCACCACATACTGTGCTGGGTAACATGCTGTGGGAAAAAGAAAAAGTAGAGCAGGGGAAGGGGGCCCAGGAGCACTGGCCATGGGGAGTGTCTAGGCCTCATTGAGAGGTTGAAATTTGAGCAGACTTTGAGGAGGCTGGGGAGATGGCAGACAGATGGCTGAAGAAAGGTTTCTGCCAAAGCCGAGCCTGGGTGTCAGCAAACAGCCCAGAGGCCAGTCAGGCTGGACAGAGCTGAGTTATGGGGCAGGGGAAAATGGGGTGTTCTGGGGCTGACCGCGGAGAGGAGGTGAGCAGATCTTGTAGGGGCTGGCAGGCCAGCCTGAGGGTTTTGCCCATTCCTCTGAGTGACTTCAGGGAGTCATTGTGGGGTCTTGAAGCTGTAATTTAACTTATGCGTTGAAGAGACTATTGAACTGAGAATCACTTTGATTAGTTAGAATTTAGCCACAAGCCTTTTTCCGTTCAGAGGAAATACTCCAAGCTCATGCTGTAAAGGCCTAGGTATTTTGGCTTTAAGAATGGCTGGAACTTGGAATCAAAATAATGTTGAGATCTGTCCTTGTCCGTCTCTGGGCTCTGCTGTCCTCTTGTTGACTTTATTCTAAAGCCGAGGAAGGGACAGCTCTGCAAACAAGCTTCGCAGCGCCAGCCGACAGAGCACTTCTTTCTGGAGAGTTCCGGCAAAAGCCCTGGGGTGGTGTCTCATTGGCCTAAACTGGGTCAGGCTCTTAATGACTGCTTTCAGGTAGCAACTGATTGCCCACACCTGGATCAGATGCTCACCTTTGAACCCAGAGACCCCACCACCACCCACTGCCCTGAGCTGGTTCCCAGTCAGCAACTCTATAAGTCAGACTAGAAGTGCCACGTCTGGTGGTCTCCCATTTTCAATATTTACAGAAACAGACATGCCCTGTCTTTCTCCTGACAAGCCTGTGGCAGCAGCCGAGCACTTACTCATTGCACCACCGAAGAAAGGTTTTTATTTGCTTTCGTTGTGAAACCAGCAAAATGCATGAAATGTTTCTGTGGAGCTTAACGAAGAAAAATATGTACACACTTTAACAAGCAATACTGTACAGTGAACACTGATGTGTCTACCCTACCCCCCAACTCTAGATTAAGACCTAGAATATTATTAGTGTTTTGGGGAACCCTGGAGGGAAGAGGGAAGTGATTTCTAAGCAAAACCAGGATGTTGCTACCAGGATGAGGAATGGCTGTCAGGCAAGCATGACATTCACTACAGATCTTGTACTCCTCTGGCATTCCTACCTCCCCTGCTTTTCACATTCATTTGTTAAAACCTTTAGACCCCCAATTTACTGTCTTCTCAAAGCATGCCCTCATCTCTTGGTGGGTGGGGTGGGAGGGGCTTTACCATCCACATGTCTGACCTGTGCAAAACCAAATTCACTGCCATCGAGCCGATGCTGGATCATATCGACCCCTGTGGGTTTCCAAGACCGTAACTGCGTTTACGGGAGTAGAAAGCCCAGCCTTTCTCCTGCCAAGAAGCTTGGTGGTTTCGGATGGCTGACCATGCAGAGTTTGTCCCAACACATAACTGCTATCCCACCAGGGCCCCGTGCAGCCCTCCTGAAGCACTCTGTTGATGTTTCATCTCGCCAGTCTCTCGCTGTTACTCTCAAACAATCCAGCCGGGGGACAGAGAACAGAAACGTGTGTGAAGGGAG